CTTTGGGAGACCTCAGCATGGAGCTGCTGCAGTTTAACATGGGGGTGGCAAGAACGGTCAGGTGGTCAGTGAGTGGCCGGAGTTTGGGAAATGATGCTGCTCACAGCAGGCCATGGGTGCTACTACCAGGGCCAACCAGAGAGAAGCTTCAGAAGATTAACTTCTGCGAGGGCAGGAAATGGCAAGCACATCACCCAGGGGAGAAACCAGGAAGGGAAAGATCACATGATCTGACCACACGCAAAAATGTAAGACGTCAAAAACTACCCCAAAACAAAACAAAAGGCAAACAATGAAAATAGTTCCCATACATATGACAGACAAAAAGTTAACCTATTTTAATCTAAAGTCTCTTCAAACTAGCAAGAATGAAACTAAAATCCCAGTAGAATAAAGGGCATGAATAGGCCAATCACAAACAAACAAAAAAAAAAAGATTGCTGTTTTTAAATACATATTTTTTAAATGCAACCTCATTACCATCAAATCAAAACAACTTAAAACAAAAAGTGTATCTCCACTGTAGCTACCAAATTGCCATAACGAAAAAGGAGTCCGTGGTGATGAGGAGGTGGGGGGACGGGCACTCCTCACAGCTGAAGGAGCATGAATAGATGTTTCAAAACCTTAACAGGAAACGTTGTGGAATATAAAGCTTTAAAATGCCCTTACCTGTTGACCAGGAATTTCACTTTTAGGAACTCATTTTAAGAAAATAATTAAGGATAAGTAATAGATTCAGCTGTAAGGATATTCATTACTGTTTTATTTCTAATACAAAAATAAAAATAAAGAGTGGCCTATCTGACCTATAATAGGGAAATCAGCTTGTTATATGAGTGGTTTAGAGCTGTGGCTGCTAACCAAAAAGTCGGCAGTTTGAACCCAGCAGCTGCTCCTTGGAAACCCTATGCGGCAGTTCTACTCTGTCTTACAGGGTCGCTATGAGTCAGAATCGACTCAATGGCAATGAGTTTGCTTTTTTTTTGGTTTTCGTATAAATAATAAGTTACATAAAAAGTATGTTACCGTCATATGGTACAATTTTATGTAATCATTAAAACAAGGCAGAATAACTGATGGGAGAAAACATTCACATACCTATATGAATATATTCTAATTTTTCATTTTAATTAATAGTTTATCTGTGGTAAGTGTAGTATTTCAATAAACAATGTTACTTTTCTAGATTCAAGGAGGAAAAGAGGGAAACGGCCTGGCTGGTGTGTGCCAGAATGGGTTGGTGGAAGGTCTGAACACCGTGAGACCCTTTATGCGCCTGGGTGGCTCTAGTGAAGTGCTTAGCAAACATTCACAACCCTTCTCATCTTCCAGTGAGTCTGAGATGGAGAAAGGGATGGAGTGATTAATTCCCATTTTCCTATGAAAACAGGAATAAAATGTCTTGTGCATTAATGTAGGAAGGAAGTGGCACCTCTAGTGATTTCCCACTATCCTTAGAGTCACATCCAAATCCTTTCCCACTTCTAGAAGGCCTTGCCTGCCTCTGACTTCCCCTCCTGCCCCATGCCTCTTGCTCAGCACAACAGCCTTCCTTCATTTCTTCAATCATGCTGATCTCACTCCTACCTCAGGGCCTTTTGCATGCCTGTTTCCTCAGCCTGGAGCATTCTATCCTGCTTCTTCCCACAGTCATCCATTATCATTCAGGTCTCACCTCCAATGTGATTTCCTTCAAGTGGCCTCCCTGACCTCTTGTATAAAGTGGCTCACCTTCCCCCACCCTTCTCCCTTTTCCATCTCATCAACTATTTTATTTCCTTCATTGCATTTATCATTATCTGAAATGATCTCATTTATATTTTTACTGGAATGTTGTCTGTGTCCCCCCACCAAAATGTAGGCCCATGGCAACAGGGACCATGACTAGTCTTGCTCACTGTGGTGACATATAGTAGATACCCAAAAAATATTTGTTAAATACATGGATGGAAGCCAGGTGCGTTAGACAGAATAGGATAAGCTACGACACAGTGACAGAGAATCTACAGCATCTCAGTAGCTTAATAACAATGAAGGCTCTTTTCTTGCTCACATCATAGTCCAACGCAGGTTGGGTGGTCCTGCCCCATCTTGCAGCCTATGTGGCTTCCAAGGTCACTGTGGCAAGGAAAGAGAGAAATGGAGGGGACACACTGGATCTTAACTGCCTTGGTCAAGAGGTGACATGTGTTACTTCCTTTCACATAGACCATTAGACAAAACTAGCCACACAGCCCCAAATTAACTGCAAGGCTGGGAAGTGGAGGGGTTGCAATGAGTTTAACTGTCTGTACCATACCAGGACCCCATATCCCAGCCACAAGCTCTGCCCATGAAGAGACTCCAAAGGGAGTCTTGCAGGCAGAAATCATCCAGTGTGATGATGATGAGGGAAATCGAGGCAGCAGAGCTGCCAGCTGTGGGGCGTCGGGCTGAGGGGCCCAAGCCTGTGCTCAGCTCACCCTCAGCTTCTCTTCTTCCCGTGTGCGGGGGCTGCATCCTCTGCCACCGGGACCCCCACCAGATCCTCCTCCCAGGGCATTGATAGCTCATTGAGCACCTGCCCACCCAAGGCAGCCCTGGGCCGCAGGCACGCTAGCACAGTCAGCCCTCGTTCTGCAGGCTCACACAGCTAACCAAAAGCCTCCCTTGGAGCAAGGTCCAGACCAGCTGCCGCCACGTGTTCACCACATTGCTGCTGGAAAGCCTCATGGCCAGCAGTGGACTGACAAGTGGATGGAGATGTGCCCCAGACAGACCTTCCAGGGCTGTCAGGATTCTGGCTGTGGCTCTAGGGGAGCCAACTCCTCCAGTGTCTCAAGGTTTCGCTCACGGCTCCGCACGCAGGTCCTGCCCACACCGCTGTTTAGACCACTGTGTTCCATCAAGTTCAAAGGCAGGGCACAGCTGGAAGTCCTGCTGTGCACAAATCCTCCTCAGCTGTGTTGTCCAATATGGTAGCCACTAACCACACTGGCTATTTAAATTTAAATGTGAATTAATTAGAATAAATTAAATAATCTAAAAATTCCATTTTTCAGTTGCACTAGCCACATTTTCAGTACTCAAGAGACAAGTGGTCATCGGCTATCTTACTGGACAATGTGGTATTAGAACATTTCTACCATCACAGAAAGTTCTGTTGCACAGCCCTGTTCTTAAACGTCATCTTTTCTGAAATAGTCATGCTTCCTCAATACTCCCCTCCACAAGATCACCAAATGGTCCTGCATGCCTTAGATCAGCCCCTAGATTCTCTCAGGTATGCAAAGCTCTCAATGAGAGCACAGAGCTTTAGAGGGTATTAATTGTCAGGGAAACCCCACACATCAAACACTGCTGTGCCTTATCTTCCTTGTCCACGCTGCACTCTTGAGGAGGTAGGGGGAGCTCAGATTAGAGGCACAGACCTCCTTTCTGTGTCTCCCTGAGCTCCAGGGCTGTCTGCCATGCCCCTCTGTCTCTGCAGGACCTACTGCTGTGCTTAGGACAAGCGAACATTCAATCCACATTGGCTGAATAAGTAAATGCACATCTGTGCAATGTGGAAGAAACACATGACCCAGCTACTCTTTCTCAATTTACTAGGACTTATCACTTATAATCCTTTCTTTGTCATGACAAAATTCATGTCAATTTAAGACTTTTTATACTTATCAGGAACAGTGGGGTACAATTGGATCAAAAGGGAGTGAATGAATAAATTGAAGTCGACTGGCAAAACCAAAAGAAAGCTCTAGACTTCCTCCAGTCATAGGTATGTGTGACAGAGGGACCCTCCATACCAGGAAAATGAAAATTTGCCTCCACTAGCCTCATGAAGAACTCATCATGGCTGTCCCAACTTCAATCAGAGTCCTTGGCCTACTTCTCAAGAATGACTTCTCATCATAGTAAAACCACATTTTATTTAGAGACTGAAAAGCACCTTCACCTTCCTTATCTCATTCAATCCTAACAACCTCTAAGATGGAATTTATGGATCCATTTCCAAGGGAGAAAGTCAAGGCTCAGAGGATAGGAGTTGCATTCCCAATGACACACCTGGAAATGGTGGGGCCAGGAATTGATCTGGGCTCTCTAAGTCTAAGCACAGCCTACATTTGAAGGCAAGGTGCCCGCATATGCACATGGCAGAGTAAGGGGAGGATCGCACACGCCTGTACAAAAGCTGGGACATGTGCCCTGGACCCCCACGCCGCCATCCTTGTACCTCCTTCAGGGATTGGCCTGGAGTGGGTGGGGGTGGCCCTTCCTCTCCTCAGCATTTGGTAGACAAGGGCAGGTGCCACTGGTACCCAAGAAGATTTAGGTGACACACAGACATGCCACTAAATAGTCCAGGATCACAGGAAGAAATTGATTCCCTTTTCAATATCCTTTCAACTCTTTTGATTATTTCAAGGAGAAGCCTTGGATGAGTTTCAGTCTGTCCCTGCCTTGAACATTCACTATCATCCCTTTTTAACAGAATGTGAGCTGTGGTTCACAGCCTTCAGAAAGCAGGACTACAGTTGAATAGCATAGCTTTACATTTTAGCTTACTTTTTAGGTAAAATGATGTTTCCTTTTTAAATAATTTGAAGTTGTAAAAAAGTCAATTGGTTTATAGAAAAATACACAGTCCAGTTACTTTGTGGATATGGCAAAAACGAAGAAAAATGGTACACAAATGACTGGAGTTTGTGAAAAACTGCCTTAGTGGGTAAACAGACTTGCCAAGTCAGAATTACTCCCAATTTACAGATGAGAAAACTGAGATTCATTGAGGTAGATGGGATGCCTAACATGAAAGCTCAGCTTTTCTCACCTGTGGGCGTTATAGAGTGTCCCTGTGTAGACGTCATTCACCTGAAACATCACAAGGGAAACCTAGCAGGCAGCAAATCTTCCCCCAGAAGGTGCAGGTGCCTTGATCCACCTGCCTCACTCTTATTTCAGGGTGAGTTGTTGGCTCTGCCCACTCCCCCTTCCACCTCTGGAAGCCCCACACTCACAATGTTCATGAGGGTGAGCAGGTATTTCTGCACGTGCTCCTTCCCATGGAACTGGACCACAGAGTCGTCCACACCCAGCAGGACCTCAATGTTGTAGTCGTCGTCTGCAGCGTGCCTCCGCGCCCTCCGCCTTGAGCTGTTGACTCGCTCTTCCAGCACGCCCAGGGCCCGGCTGAGGCTGTCCAGGCTGCCCAGGGCAGCTCCTGGAAGGAGAGAGGACACAGTCTTCAGCGGCAGCAGCACGGGCTCACCAGGGACCTCACAGCAGGACAAAAACTCCACTCAGATGCCACTTAACACCTGCCAGGAGCCAGTATGGCCACCATGGTATTGAAAACTCACAGCAACCTTGCACCAAGGGCACTGTAGTCCCATTTTACAGAAGAACAAACCAAGGTTCAGAGAGGGAGCGACATGCCAAGTCAGCTCAGAGCCAGCAGCACTCAAGCCACCACTTTTGGGTGCAAGGCTGGGCTCATTCCCAAGTGCCTGGTGGTGATTCCAGCCACAGCATGGCCCACAGTGATCTCTACGCACAGCTGTGGCCCAGGACAGGGCCTAATGACGTCTCTGCTTCCTGCGGCCGCTGCACCACGGTCCAGCATCACGCAGCCCAGAGCAGGCACGGGATGGAGAGGCCGGGATTCATGGGAATGGGAGTGGGCAGAATCAGCTCACTCCCTACACTCACACATTCACACTCCTGGCTGTATGCCCAGTTTGCCAAGAGGCTGGTGGTGCAGGTGGCCCCTGTTACAACTGGCGAAAGTGAGACTTGGCCAGGGAGGTGTGTGTCCTCTCCTTGGGCCCCAGCTCCCCTCCAGAACTTTCTTCTCAGTCCTCTGCTGAAGCTGCCCCTCACCTCCAGGCCAGCTCCACCTGCCCCACTCCTGAGCTGGGACGCGACCCCTCCATGGCCCCTGGTGACCTGTGCCTCCTGCCTTGGCGTCCCAGGTGCCGAGGAGCAGGGTCTCCTGACGGAACTGTGCAGGGACCAGGAGCAGCCCCTCTTGTGACAGCACCCCCACCATCTGCCCTGGGCAGGCACTGTCCTCCAGCCCCTACAGCCTCAGAAACTAGCCCCATGCTGGGTAGCCAGTCTGGGGAGTAGAGTCTCAGCTGAGGGTTCTGGGGCCTGGAGGTCCATCAGGCTTGGGGCCCCAGGATGTTGACCTACCCATCTGCACAGCTGCAGTTTCTGCCTCAGTTGCCTTGTACTTTCCCATTGGACCTGGAGCCCACCTTGGACAAGCCCCAGCCCCCAGCCCTCCTCTGCCTCACCTCTCAGGACAGGAGCTGGGATGACCAGGCTGACTTTCAGCATCACTGGCTGCCCCTGACCACACTTCCCACTGCCCATTAAGCTCCCCCTGATGACTGTTCTCCATGTCTGTGCAGGTTCCCGGCCTCAGGGTCCTGCTTCTCAGCGGCATTCCCTAGGTGGGTCCTCACTGACTCCTGCCCTGCTAAGTTCATTGTGACATCACCAACCCAGGTGATGGTGGTTTCCTGCCCAGCTAAGGTGGGAAAGGGAGAGCCAAGCTCAGCTGTCAATACCCCTGCACCACCTGTGGGAGATCCTCCCTCTCTCCAAAGAATCTTCCAGAACAATTGTATTTCTCCTCAAAGCCTCTTGTCTGCTGCCTACTCTAGGGACAGGGACAGGAACTCCCTCCATGTCATGGTGGTGCAGGATGGGCCTTGGAGAGAGAATGGGGTTTCTGAAAGCAACATGGCTGCCCATGGACAGGGTCTGGTCACCTGGCCTGGGCGCCAGGCCCTGCTCCACCCTTGGCACTCTGCACACGTCTGCTCATTCTGTGTTGACAACAGGCCCTTCAGTGAGTCCATTCTACAGATGTGGAGACTCTCAGGCAGGAGTTCTTGTCTTTACACCCTGCAGTCTGTCTCATGGCCAGGGCCCAGAAAAGACACACTGATCATTAGGTCTGAGGCTCAAACCTGCAACCTGGCCATGGAGCAGAGACCACGAGGGAGAAGTGGAGGTGAGAAGCAGGGGGTGAGGCTTTGACAGAAAAGAGAGCAGGTGGGGGCTGGGCTGAGGGGCTGCTTATACTCCTGTTCCTCCAGGGGCCCTTGGATGCCCCCTGTGCCCCCTCTACCTGCCTCAGGCACCGCAGCAGGTACTGCCCAGGGCTGCTCGTGGCACTCTGCTATCTGCCTGGGAGATGATTCAGGGCCATCCTGGCCGCTCCCAGAGGAGGCACCGGAGACGTAAACCTGACAGGGGCTTTGAGGAATTGCTACTCTATTTTTACACATTTATTTCTTTGCATTTCCAAGGAACAGGTGCAGCTCACCTTCAGAACCACCTTGGGAAGCAGGAAGATGGTAATTTCCATAAAAAATTATTCCCGTGGGAAGAGGCTAGATAGTTGCCCTCCGTTCCCATCACACAGGGGTCATACCCAGCGGCCCACAGGCAAAACCAGACCACAGAGGTGTTTGCCATTGCCACGTAGTCTTTAAAAGATACTTTATTTGCTTGACAGTAGTTGGAAGTTCGGAGATTTTACGTTTAAAAAAATCTAGAATACCCAGCTTCTCCCGAGAAATGAGAAGATGGGGCCAGCCTGGGCGGTGACTGTCAGCTGGAGGGGAGTGGGCACTGTGCCTGGAAACAGGACACATCGAGCCCACCAGCCTGCCACCCTCACTGACCCCCAGAGGCATCAGAGAGTGCCCCCAACCCTAACCCCACAGTGACCTCTCCAGACATTCTCTATGGGAGGCGCAGGAGCTGCCACTGGGTAGAGCTGGGCTGGGCACATCTTGAAACTGCTTCTGCTGAACAAGCACGGCTCTTCGCTCACTTGTTTGTCACAGACACATTAGAAACAACCAAGTTTTCCAGAGATGCTTTTAGACATGCTTTGTCATGAGACTGGAGCGTCAATTTCACCCCAAGCATAATTGTTGTTATCATCATAATTTTACTCATGATTATTGTTTGGAGTGACTTTGAAAAGCCAGTGGGCATTATGTTCTAGAATCCTCCACCCCTAAGGCTCAGTCCCTATAGATATGCCCCAAAGCTCAAAGGCAAAGCAATGGGGAGAGGAAGAGAGGGTACCTCAGGTCACCAGGCAGGCGGTAGCCCTGCTCTGTTTCTGGCCCCTGGAAGCCTCGTCTCTGCTCAGACCAGACAGGGCACAAGGAGCAGTCAGTGCGGTCTGCCATGCCTCCAGGCCTGAGCCCACATGCACCTCAGACCAGCTGACCTTTCCCATCTCCAGCGACTGGGCCTGGGGGCCAGGCTGATGGTCCACCTTGTCAGGCGTGGATATGACTCCGTTTCCCCACATTCAGCTTGACCCTGGAGCCCAGGCCACGCAGAGACCTGCCCACACCCTGGTCCTAGCAGGCCTGTCCCTCAAGCTGAGTTCTGCTGCAAGGACCACCAGCCAGTGGCAGGTTCCTAGGTGAACCTGGGTAGGCTTCCAAGTGATGCCCTTGACACCAACCTTGGCCTTCAGGACCTTCCCACCTATGCTGGGGTGCCTACTTGGACTAAAGGCCCTTTGCTCCACTCCATCTGTCCCTCTGGGAGAGGGATGAGCTGTTTGTCACTCTCCTCCCTCCCCTGGGAGCTCCCTACATGCTGTAGCTGTCCTGCCAAGCACAGTGACACAGAGCTCATGCAGTCCTCTGCTCCACTGCTCACTCCTGGACCCAGCCTGGATAACAAGCTGTCAGTGCTGCCCATCTCCTGCTGAAGCCAGAGAGGGATGCTGCCTTCCTGCTTTCCTCTGTGTGCTGCCTCCCCTACAAGGAGGCATCACTTGTCCCCTGGAGCTGCTGATTGATGGTAGATGAGAGAAAGCTGAGACCCCAGTCATCACACCCCAGCAGGCTGAAGCAGATCCTATGTTTCAAGTTTGCAACTAAAGAATGTTTTAGTTCCTGGCATTCCCTGGTATTCAGGGACCATTTTGGATGGCAGCCAGGACTTTCTTTGCTCATGTCTCAAGCAAAGAATGACACAGCAGGAAGAGCATCCAAGAGCTGTGCCCAGTTTTAGAGTTTCTAGAGGGAATGGAAAGGGTTACTCAAAGAGTCAATCAATAGACAGGAGAGGACGTGATGAGGGAAGGTATAATCCTTCAAGGGAATCCTGAAGGGGCTGTCATCCAGAGGAACCACTGGTCCCACAGAAAGGAGTGTTGCTAGCACACCTGAGCTCATGTACCTGAGCTCTGCACCTGTCAGCATCCTAGGAGAAGCCCGCCACATCAAGTCTCTGAAGGTACAAAGCCTTTCACAGTGACAAAGCTCCGTCACTCCCAACAGCGATTCAATCCACACACCAAGGAGAAGTCTCCTCACCATCCTCACTGTTGTCCCTAGTTTAGCAGCAAGGAAACTGAGGCACAGAAAGATTAAGTGTTTCTGATAAGCCACAGAGCACAAGAAAGAGGGGCCAGGATCAGAGCACAGGTCTTCAGATTCCAATGTTCTTAACATGCCCCAAAGCAGCCCCTGTACATCACCAACACCCAGGGTTGATTTGGGGGAAACCAAAATTGGTAGAAAGAAGCACAGTGAGCTTGGAGAAGAGAAAACCGGGGTCCTGGGTTTGTAAGCAACTCGGGAGCCTCATGTGGCGGATGACACTGTGAAGGTCCAAGGGCTCCTGGGGTATTTGCTGTTCCCTGTGTACACCCAGACCCCAGGCCTTCATTCAGCTGTCCTCTGGGTCCTCTGATGCTCTTCCTGCCTGAATTGAGCCCACCCACCATGCCTGGTGGAAGCTCCATGAAGTCCCCTTGGAGGCTGGGGCCCAGGGTTGACAGACCCCTACAGCCCAGTGCCAAAGCCCAGTGGCTCCCCCACTGGACACAGAACTCCTGGAAAGCAGGGCTGTGTTTGACCCCATATGCCTCCCCCACAGAGCCTTCCCTGCATACCTACTATGTGCCCAGCTCTGGATATGTGGTGGGGGGATGCTTGGAACCTTGGGAAGCGCATTGCTCAGTGGGTACAGAAGACTCTGCTGTTCCCTCTCCCTGGAATGCTCATCCCCTCATTTCTCATTGGACTGATGTCCTCTCATCCTTCAGCAATCAGCTGAAATGTCACCACCTTATTTCATTCTAAATTAAAATAGGCTCTCACACTGCCCAATTTCCCCCCAATAACATCCCGTTCTCTTCCTTCATGTAATGCACCACATTTGTGGTTC